AACAGGAGAAATATTGAAGATGCTAAGAGATTTTATAAGACGAATTTGGAACACAGGATAAGGAAATATTCTTATAAATTTTGTATGGTTCAAACTTGCATAAATGTTTTCAATTTTGTGTGTGCATGTTGTATATGTTGGGAGCATACACATTACATAACTTATGTGAGGTCAGAGGACAATTTGATTGTGGAATTTGCTTTCTCCTTTCACCTTTATGTGGATTCTAGCAATCAAACTCAAGTTATAGGGATTGTGTGGCAAGTGTTAAGCCATCTCACTGGCTGATAAATTCAGATAGATTTTATATAAGATCTTCAGTTTTCTTCAAAAGTTTGATTGTTATTCAATAACATTATAATGAATAGCATATATAATGTGTCACAAATATTTTAAAAGCACAAAACCGAAAAGAAAAAAGTTAGTTATCATAAAAGTGCACATCTGTAGTGGCAGCACTGAGGAATCTGAAGTGGAAAGTTGTGAGTTCAAAGCCAGCCAGATATACATAGTAAAATCCTATCTCAAAAAGAAAAGGGAGCCAGGAGAGGTGGCACATGCCTGTAATCCCAGTACTTGGGGAGGCAGAGGCAGGCAGATCTCTGTAAGTTCAAGGCCATCCTGGTCTACAAAGCAAGGATAACACAGAGAAAAACAGAGAAAGAGAGAAAGAGAGAGAGAGAGAGAGAGAGAGAGAGAGAGAGAGAGAGAGAGGTGGGGGGGTTGTTGGTGGAAGGGAGAAAAGGGAGGGTTTTGGAAAGGAAAGAAAAACAAATAGGTAAATATACTTTTCAGTTTTTTGTGGGAACCGCTGGTCTGCCAGGCTGCTTTGTTATTTTGATCTCAGCAGAAAGACATGTTTTCACTCTGGCCTTCACTGGAGTCAGTGACAAGCTGGCAAGTCTATCTCCTTTTGTTTGAGACAGCAGGTGGGATGTCTTGTCAAGTTTACACCTTTTGTTTGTGTGAGGATCACACTGACAGGTGGTCAAGGCAAAGAAGTTTTGACTTCTCTGTGAATTCATTCATTGTACCGAAGTGCTTTTGCTCTGACTTAATAAGGGATTATGGAATAAACAGGCGACTCGTTTCTACTATAGCCCTCTTGGAAAGATGCCATGTGTTGTGTGTTGGTTTATTAATTTTTCTTTAAATCCTCATTCTGTTCAACTCTGCCAATGGGCTCCAGCAGTTTGGCGCCCAAACAGGGACTTGAGATACAGGGAAGCAGTGAAAGACACCGAAGGTATTGGTGAGCCTCGATCATAAAGTTAAAAAGAGAACAATGAGTAAAATTCAAGAGTAAAAATGGGACAATACAGTAGCCTCATTTTTTTTTTTTTGGTATGATATTTAATTAGAGATAGTCTGTGTCTGTGGCATGGAACTGAAAAACTTTCAGGCCTAGAAAGAGGTTAGAAAGATGGGAGGCTTCGAGACAAAATGAGATTAGACCATCAGCTCCTCCAAAAGAGCTACATGTGCCTCCTAATGATAATAATTTGCCAGAAGACTTTGAGGATGACTTAGATCCTGATGAGGTTGCAGAGTTGGAGGAAGAAACAGCTCAGTATTATTCTGAGAGATACCCTCTGATTCAGGCTGTGAGTGTTAAAAAACTTAATCCTTGGCAAAAAGAAATTAAGAAGTTGTTGGGATGAGGCTTGGAGGAAATAAACAGAAAAATTGGAGAATTAACTACTATGGAAAATGAGGCTCAATCCCCCCCTCCAACTCCCTCATTGATTGCAGGCTTGGACCCTCCTCCTGGAATGGCTTACAGTTGCAATAGCTCAAAGATAAGGGGACTTTTCCTTTGTCCACTGTATGGGCAACTGTATCCCCTTTACAAGCTTCTTTACAAGCGAGGCAGAATAGAGAAGAAATAACTGAGTATTACGGTTTTTCAGTTCTAGAGCAGCCTCACGGACAGGGTAATATGGTGAGACTCTATGCACATACACCTTTTAAACAATTAAAAGAATTGAAAGCTGCATGCTCTTAATATGGTCCTAAAGCACCTTTTGCTCAAGCTGTGTTGGAGTCTTTGTCTAATGAGGTCCTCTGCCCAGGGACCTGGAAGCAATTAGCAAGAGAATGTTTAGCAGGAGAAGATCATTTGTCAATGGAAGTTATAATTTGCTGAGCCATGTCAAACTACAGCTAAAATTAAAAAAAAAAAAAAGACAGCAAGCTTCTTGGTTTTTCCAGTAAGAGAGCTAATGGTTAATTCTGTTATGAAACTTCTATGGTCATAAAAAATTGGATTCAACAAATAGCAAGGTGTTTTGTCTGCCTGTCTTGAATGTATTAAGTGTACCATGTTCAATATGTCCTGGTTATAGATCATAAGTCATTGGGTATGTTTAAAATCTGTAACATAAAATTAACTTACTTAAAACCTAGGGTTAGAACCATTCCAAACAACGAATGGACGTTACTCATATCCCAGAATTTTAAAAATGAAAATATGCTCACATAACAATTGATACTTTTTCAGGATTCATCATGGCAACTCCCTTAGCAGGAAAAGCCACCAAATATGTTACAAGTCATTGCTTAAAATGTTTTGCTACAATTGGTATTACTTCCATTATAAAGACTGATAATGGTACTACATATATTAGTCAAGCTTTTCAGCATTTTTGTGTGCAAATGAATATAAGTCATAAAACAGGTATTCCTTATAATCCCAAGGTCAAGAAATTGTGGACCATGCCCATGGATCACTTAAGAACCAACTGCAAAAAATAAAAAAAAGGGGGAGTCATATCTTCAAATCTTAATCATGCTCTCTTTAAATTTTTTGAATGAGGATATACAAGGCCATTCTACAGCTGATAGATTGTGGTACCCTAATATCAAAGATAATTATGCCCAAGTAAAATGGAAAGATCCAATCACTGGAATATGGCAGGGTCCTGACCCTGTATTAATATGGGAAAGAGGGCATGTTTGTGTTTTTACACAGGACACAGAAGGAGCCAGATGGATCCCAGAAAGACTGATGCAATTTGCAGATGTTCCCCAGTAGGAGGATGTTCCTGCTGCAGATCATGGCGAATTCTGTTCTGGTGGTGAACAGACAACTGTATTGGGCTTCTGCTCCTGGCAGAAGATGCTATGCAGAGAAACCTCTTATACAATGTGACTGGAATTGATTGGTCTGATAATCAGGACAATTCTCAACAAAATCGGGAAGAATGGGAAAGAGGACTGGCTATAGGACTTTGGTCTGATTCTGGTTTTCAGCAGATCTGTATTTGGAAGCTTGCCACAGAAATTCTTGAGAGGCCCTGTAACTGCCTATGTAAATTCTCCTTATGCTTTGTTTGGAAATGTTAGCTTTTTAATACAAGATTCAAGCTTTAATGTTTCTTGCCATCAACGTAAACTAACAAACTGTATTTCTAAGCTTCCAAATAGACAATAGGTTCTGATTGTTCGACAGCCTTTTATTATGGTTCCTGTGAATATTTCTCAGGCTTGGTACTTGGACAAGGGGTCATCTTTTAAGTCACTTTTATGGAATGTTATTGGACTTGGCTTATTACTCTTATTAGGAGCATGTCTCCTACCAATGACAATTAAAACCTTCATCAAGGCCTTTTAGAATGCTAAAGCTGATCTGCATAAGATTAAACCCCAAAGTCTACCTTAGCGGAGGTTGGTAGTCAAAGACTCTGAATACTCTTCAGAGAGAGTAAGATCTCTCTGAAGAATATTCAACCTAAGTCAGGGTGTGAATGACAGAATTCATGCATCAATGATGGGTAAGAATATATCTTTCAAGAGAGACAGCCTAAGATAGGCACAATCTTCTGCTCCCTAGCTCTTAAGCTATGGTCAATTTCTAAAATATAAAAAAGCGATACCTGGGGGGAGCCGCTGGTCTGCCAGACAAGTTTTCACAACGGCCTTCACTAGAGTCAGTGACAAGCTGCCAAGTCTATCTCCTTTTGTTTGAGACAGCAGGTGGGATGTCTTGTCAAGTTCCCATCTTTTGTTTGAGGATCACACAGACAGGTCATTGAGGTAAAGAAGTTTTGACTTCCCTGTGAATTCATTCATTGTATTGAAGTGATTTTGCTCTGACTTAAAAAGGGATTACTAGAATAAACAGGCGACTAGTTTCTACTAGAGCCCTCTTGGAAAGATCCCATGTGTTGTGTGTTGGTTTATTAATTTTTCTTTCAATCCTCACTCCCAACTCAAGAACTATTCAACTCTGCTGGCGGGCTCTGGCAATTTTTATTAAACGCAAATGGAAATTATTTTTAATGTAATGGCCTACCCTATTTTTAGTACTGGAGATTGAATTTAGTGTATTGTGCCTGTTAGGCAAGCATTCTAACACAAGTCTGAGTTTTGAATTATGTGGGGAAATAACCTAATATCAAGTACTACTCAAAACTTCCCAGTGCTATCACCCAAAACTACAGTATCATTTTTGACCTTAAGTATAGATAGTATATAAGCAATCTGTGTGGTTTACTGTCAATATCATTTACCAGAATTAAAGTAATCAAAAGAAGCTAGTTTTCACGTGTGAATATTAAGAGATTCATAAATGATACATAGGTAGATATAATTCTGATTGGTACATTCATGTTTCTTTTGTACTGCTTCATTTATTTATTTGGAGATAGCACTATATAATTCTGATTGGTAAAAGCATGTTTCTTTTGTATTGCTTTATTTTTATTCAGTCATTTATTTATTTATATGATATAGCACTATATAGTTCAGGCTGGTTCAGAACACAAGATCCTTCTGAACGGTGGAATTACAGGTGTGTGCCACCATATCTAGCTTAGTTTTGAAGGCTTCCTTTTCTTTTAACTTAAAACTTAAAGAAAAAAATGTGTTTATGTGGGCACAAGTATTGTGTGTGTGGGTGAACATACATATGTATGACGTGTAGATGTCAGGTGTCAGTTTCCAGTGTCTTTACTAAGACATAATCTCCTTAGGTTTGTTTTCTTTTCTTCTTCTTCTTCTTCTTTTTTTTTTTTTTTTTTTTTTTGAAATTGTCCTGTCATTGACCTGGAGCTTGTAATTTGGCTAGGCTGGTTGGCTAGGAGCCCCAAGACTCCACCTGCCTTTGCCTTCCCAGAGTTGGGATTACAAGGACATACCACTCTGCCTAGCAATTTCATCTGGGCTCTGGAATCAAACTTAAATCACCATTCTTATATGGCAAACACCATACCAGCTATGCTCTCTTACCAGCAGCATAGACTTTCTTTCTCTAAGGACTTTCTCTAAGTCCTCATACTTGCTAGCGAAGCACTCTAGCACTGAACTACACCCTTGCTTTGTGTTTCTGGTCATGGAGTAAGAACAGGTGAATAAAATTATTCCTATTCACCTCATCCCCCATATGTATTATCAAAATCACATTACTGTTTAATCTGTCAATGTCAGGTTTCAGTTATATAATTATAAACGTGGCTATACGTTAATTTCATAAAACTATAGCTTCAACATTGGCATTTACTCATTACTTTCAAGCTTGTGAATTTAAAACAAGCTTTCTACGAGATTTGAGAACACTTCTTGAAAAATAAAAGATCATGAAAACAAAAGAAGGTCTGGGCTGGCGAATGGCTGTAATGGTGATGGTGCTGCCGTTGGGCTTGACAGTCTGAGTTCAGAACCGTCCATGAGTCTTTCTTACATGCTACTGTCCCCTGAGAGGCTCACTGTTCCGGTCGGATGGGAAGTCATCTTGGTCTACAAATAAACAAAGATGATTCATTGGCTAAGAATTTTGAGGGATTTAGCTCAGCGGTAGAGCCCTCGTCTATCTAGCCCTGGGTTCGGTCCTCAGCTCTGAAAAAAAAAATTTTTTTTTTGAAAGAAATAAAAATAGAAACAAAAACTCTAAGCTAGATTTAAACCTCAAATAAAGTAATAACGTAACACAGGAAAAAAGTTCTTTAGAAAGGCTCTTTAATTCAAGTTTTACCTGAGTTCTGATTTTATTTGCTCTATCTTGCAAGGCCTTCCAAGCTTACTAAACACTTACTAAACACTAACAGCTTTCGGCAACTTGTCGGAACTTTCTGTCAATTTAAAATGCTATATGGCTTTGACCACAGTCTTTCTGGGTTCTACATTTCCTTTAAAAAAAAAAAAAATGGATACGAGACCTACCTCAAAAACCAACAAAACCGTGAGGCTTCGGTAAATCATGGGCCCTGTGTTTTGTAGCCTCCGCGTTTGCTGGAGGGTTGGAACCCGGCGGGCGGCTCGCAGTGCCTCAACTCCCAGAGGCTTGGCGCCTGCCACACCTAGTTTCCTTCAAGCCGCCGGGTCTCTAAGGCAGGGAGCTGAGCGCTGCCGCACGCCGGGTCCTCTAGCCGCGCCCCGCCTCCCCGCCCACACAGGGCCCGAGCCCGGCCACCACTTCCGGTTCCGTGAGCCCGCACTTTCGACAAAACCCCGGGGTCTGCCCGCTCCCCCTGGCACGTCTACACTTCCTTCTCCCCTTGCCCGTAACGCACGCTGAATGCAAACACCAAGGCGCTTGGCTGGGACCGTGAGACGGGAGCCTGCGGGAAGAACGAGCAGGCGCGCGGACCTGGCGAAAGTGCGAGCGGGGAGCACCGCACGCTCCGTGCTCGCCCGCCGCACTTCCGCGCCGCCGACCGGAAGTCCGCGGTCTGAATGAGTCCGGCAGCCGGCGGCCGCCGCTCCTCCCTGCGGGCTTGACCGCGGGCGACCGGTAGCCCTGGACCTCGGGTCTTGTCGGCCGGCAGGTTCATGTGGAGGCTCCCAGGCCGCGCCGCGCTCCGTGGGGTCCGGTCGGTGCTGGAGCAGCCCAGCCGGGCCGAGGCAGCGGCCGGCGAGGCGGCGCGCGCCATGGAGCGCGCGGTGGTGCGCTGCGTGCCCTCGGAGCCCAAGCTCAGCCTGACGTTCGCGCTGGCCGACGGCAGCCACAAAAACATGCAGCGCGACCAGAGCGAGCCCCTGGGCCGGGCCCTCAGACGGATCGCTACCCACGCCCTCAAGGGCCACGCTAAGGCCGCGGCCGCCAAGAAGAGCAGGAAGAACCGAGCCCACTCGAGCGGGGGCGCGGCCTGCGCGGCGGCGGCGGGGCCCGACCCGGCCGCGGCCTGCGAGCCCGTGGTGAAGCTGTACTACCGGGAGGAGGCCGTGGCTGAGGACGTGCTCAACGCGGACGCCTGGCAGGACGGCGCCGTGCTGCACATCGGCGACGTCAAGTACAAGGTGGAGCGCAACCCGCCGGCCTTCACGGACCTGCAGCTGCCGCGCTACATCATGGCCGGCTTCCCGGTGTGCCCTAAACTCAGCCTGGAGTTCGGGGATCCCGCCAGCTCCGTGTTCCGCTGGTACAGGGAAGTCAAGCCGGGGGCGGAAGCACCTGCGGACGGCGGCCTCGCGTCGTCGTCGCACTCCTCGCCGTCTCCCACCTGGGCCGAGACGGGTGTGGACGAGCGTGTGTACACCCCGAGCAACGCTGACATCGGGCTGCGGCTCAAGTTCTACTGCACGCCGGGCAACGGGCAGCGCTTCGGGCCGAGCCGCGAGCTGGAGAGCGTGTGCCCCGTGGAGGCCGGGCCCGGCACCTGCACTTTTGACCATCGGCATCTGTACACCAAGAAGGTGACAGACGACTCTTTCGTCCGTACCGTCTCCTACAACATCCTGGCAGACACGTACGCCCAGACTGAGTTCTCCCGGACAGTCCTGTACCCGTACTGCGCCCCCTACGCCCTGGAGCTTGACTACCGCCAGAACCTTATTCAGAAGGAGCTCACGGGCTACAACGCCGACCTCATCTGTTTGCAGGAGGTGGACCGCGCAGTGTTCGCGGACAGCTTGGTCCCGGCTCTGGAGGCCTTCGGGCTGGAGGGCGTGTTTCGAATCAAGCAGCACGAAGGCCTGGCCACTTTCTACCGGAAGTCGAAGTTCAGCCTCCTTAGCCAACACGACATTTCTTTTCAAGAAGTCCTGGAGTCGGATCCACTGCACAAAGAACTATTAGAGAAACTGTCTTTGAATCCACTAGCGCAGGAGAAGGTACTCCAGAGATCGTCTGTCCTTCAGGTCAAGTGGCTCTGCCTGTTTTCATCATACTCACCTATGTTTAGGGGCCTTTGGAGTGGAGGGATGGTATTAGGACTCGCCATTGAAACTATCTAAAGTGTATTTCTTTATAGTATGTTTGCTCTAATATCTTTTTTTTTTTTTTGTAGACCAGGGTGGCCTCGAACTTAGACAGATCCGCCTGCCTCTTCCTACCGAGTGCTGGGATTAAAGGAATACACCACCACTAGTACCTTATATATTTACCGATCCCTCTTGCATCTTGTATACTGTAGCTTGTTCTTTAATTCAGCACATATTAAGCACTTCTCGTGTGCCTATCTCGCTACAGGTTGCCTTGAACAAGGTCTGTAGACATTGTTAGTGTTTACGATCTGGGTACATACACACAAAATTCAGTAATGATAGTAACTTGTCAAGCTGGTTTTAGAGCAGTTTAAAGTGTAAATGTTTTGTGTTTTAAGACCTGTTTCATAACTGTTGTAACCTAGTATGTAAAAATACATTTCTTTTTTTAATCTGCTTTTACAGATACTCATGTTTCATAAATGAGAACATATTCAGATTCTCATACGCTGCTGGTTCATAAAGTGTGAAGTCAAGATTCTTGGCTAGTAGACAATGCTAGCGTTATAGCTCGGGCTATGAACTGCTACTTAGCTTAACGTTGTCTTTGGTGGTTTTTTGCTTGTTATTTGGGTTTTGTTGATATTTTCAGACAGGGTCTCACTGTGTAGCTTGTGGGTGTCTTGGAACTGGATATGCAGGCCAGTCGCACCTTGAACTCACTAAGATTTATCTGCCTTTGGCTCCATTTAATGTGAGTGCCGCCACACACTCTTTTTAGAGGACATTTTCTTTTTTTTTAAGTAATGGGTTGAGCACCATTGTGTTCTGTGCACGTCTTCTTAGGTTCATTTAGTTGAATACTCAGAGCCATGAGGTAGATAGGTACTTACCATTTAAACACTGAAAAATACCTTGCTCCGAGGCACAATGCTGTAAGTGCTAGACTGTTCAAACGAATCTGCCTGACTCCAGGACATGTGCTTTTCCACTTGAAGGCATTATCCAGTCTGAATTTTGTCAACTAAAATGTTAGATTTACTTAGTGTTGACATGCCTGAAAACCTGCAGTGTCAGGTTTAAAAATTACTATCTTAGTTTTCAAGGGACTGTGGAATAAAATAGCTAAGCCTACAGTCTTAAGTACAAAACATTTTGGAGAGTGGCGTGTTGTGGCACCTGCCTTTAATCCCAGCACTTTGGTTTATATAGTTCCAGGACAGCCAGGACCAAACAGTGAGACACTGTCTCAGACAACCAAAACCAAAAAGTTTTCAGGAGATGGGCAGATACCAACTGACGTCTTGGTGTTTCCTATTATAGATTTCAGTTCTTCAATCTACAAAGGACTCTTCTAAAAAGTTATGTGTTGCTAATACTCATCTCTACTGGCACCCAAAAGGTAGGTTTTGTTTAGTTTTACAAGTGACATAAATGTTGTGACTATTAAAGCTGTTTCTTACACACGTACATATCTTGCTTTTAGGTTTTTTGTTTGTTTTGATTTGTTTCTGATAGAGTTTTGAAATACATATTGGCCTGGAACTTGAAATCCTCCTGCCACAGCTTCCTCAGAGCTAAGATTACAGGGGTGTACCACCACCCCAACCGTATTAAACACTTATCCTGAATGTCACTCAGATACTATAGGTGATTATTTCAAGATGCTAAGTTGTTTCATAAGTCTTGGGCCCAACAAGATGGCTCCGCTGGTAAAGGCACTTGCCACCAAGCCTGACAACCTGAGTTCAATCCAGGGACCTATGATGGAGAGAGCAAACTCTGACCTGCACATATTCCACCTGTGACACACACATGCCAGATGTAAATGTGGGTGTGAGTGTGTCTGTAACGCATCAGGCGCCCTGGTTTGTAAGTGCCCTGTGCAGGGTGTTAAGAAGCGCCTACAGTAATCTTGTTTGTTGTCTGTAGGTGGGCACGTTCGTCTCATTCAAATGGCAGTGGCCTTGGCCCACATCAGGCGTGTTTCATGTGACCTGTATCCTGGCATACCAGTTATATTCTGTGGAGACTTCAATAGTACGCCATCAACAGGAATGTTTCATTTTGTCGTCAATGGCAACATTACGGAGGACCATGAAGACTGGGCTTCCGGTGGGGAAGAGGAGAAGTGCAGCATGTCTCTCACACACCTCTTCAAACTGAAAAGTGCTTGTGGTGAACCTGCGTATACAAATTATGTCGGTGGTTTCCACGGGTGTCTAGATTACATTTTCATTGACTCAAATGCCTTAGAGGTTGAACAGGTGATCCCCTTGCCCAGTCATGAAGAAGTTACCACCCACCAGGCCTTACCTAGTGTTTCTCATCCTTCCGATCACATAGCACTTGTATGTGATTTAAAGTGGAAGTAGATTTTGCTCCATTGTAGGAAAAGGAGGCTAATTACTTTTCAGAAAATTTATTATGAAACAGAGCTTATAGAAAACCTTCAGTGAAGAAACCTAGACACTAACTGTATGGTCATTCCTTCCCTACTAGTCATGTTCCCGATGGCTTTGTACAGGACGAGTGCATAATGTCTTCATCCTGTACCTATCCTCTGTTTGTAATTTCCTGCATTTGAGGGAAACATTTATGACTGGCAAAAGGGAAATTGAATTACTGTGTACATTTTATAAGTTTTTGTAAGCTGGTAATTAAGATTTTTAAGTACTGTTTAACTAATCTCATAATTTTTCTTTTGTAACACATTTTACATTGAATTATGTTCGTGTAATTGGGAGAGGAGGTCATGCAGGTAAAAGGTGAGAGAGACCTTCGAGACACATGGAACACATTAGTCTATCACTACCTCAATTTGGTTAGAATTTATTGTAATTTTGGAGCTTTTACAAAAGATGAAAATATGCCATTACCAGTTTTTATAGATTCTTTGTCTGTCAGTTGGCAAGGTATTTCCCTCTAGCATTTTATCTCTCAGTGTGCACAGACGCATGGAATCTGTTCTCCTTTGCACCGCAGCCTGCTCTAATAGGAGGCGAGCACAGTAGCGTGCTCGAGGGGAGCAGTAACGTGACTTGACCCCTTGTCTTCGTTCTCTCTCGTGAAGCACACTTGTAAGCACACACAGGGTGCTTGACCATGGTATGAAGGAACACAGCACAGTCATTTTATAAGAGACTTCTGTTAGGGGCTTCGGGACGATGCATACGAACCATTGAGCATTTCTGTGCTGGAGCTCTTTTCAAAATTGCCAGTTGTTGTCAATAGGAAGAACGGAAGCAGGGTGGTGCTTTATAACCTTGTCCTAGTTCCTGGGAGTCTGAGGCAGGACTGCTCTGAGTTCAAGGCCAGCTTAGGATACATCAATAGGAAAAAAGGGGGACAGTGGGCTTTTGCCAATATCTGAAATAAACTTTTTATAGATGTAAGCATTATAGTTTAAGTAACAAAACAGTGCCACATAATTTATATATAAAAGAAAATTTTAAAATGAAACAAACATTTTAAGATGAGAATTACAAGTTGTATTGATCAGTATCTAGTTTAACTTTTCCTAAATTTGTTGTCACCATACCCTCATGTAATGCTTTAGCTATTGCTTTTTAATGGTCAGGACTAACTGTAGCATAGCTTTCTGCAGTCAGTTTCTAGCTTGGATAGTAAAGACCTCTCACCTCAAGAAGAGGTCTAACTTTCTAGTCTTAAAAGCCCTTATTTACAAATTTTGAATCTCTAAACCCAGTGCCATATGAACTTTTCCTTTTGAAAATCTGTTTTCTCCCATATTCTTGTAGTGTAATATGTGTTTTCATATTCTATCAGACACCCTGAAGCTAATAAGTGTGAGAATATAAGCATTTCATCTGTACTTCACGTTGGACTTTTATTCAAATTATTTTCAGGAAGTTAATCATTAAGGTGGAAGTTTCTTGGGTGTTTTGTTTTTGTTTTGTTTTGTTTTTTTAAAGCTGATGAAAAATTGATGTTACCAAATTGTGCCTTCCTAAATATGGTACTGGGTTATTTTGTTTGTTTTTTCTCCAGCAGATGAAATTCAGGGCCACTGAATTATACTCCTAGCCATATACATGCCATTTTTTGAGAGCATTTTAGTGGCAGTTTTTATAGTCAGAACTAGTTCTGGGGGTTGAACCCAAAATCCCGAGTATGTGCAGTACTGCCAAGCTACATCAACGCTACAACCATTTTCTTTTCAAAACTTGGTTTTGTTGTGCTTACAGATAAGCATGTTGGCAAACTTACATGAACTCTTAAGGAATTAACAGTATTTTACTCAGCAAAAAGTCAACATTTTAAAAGATTAATGAGATTATTCATACCCACAAAAAATATATTGAGATCCTATATTAACTCCATGGTGGGGTGAACTGAGATTTACCAAACGTCCCCCATCCTAAATCCATAAATCTGTCATTTATGGATTAAATGCCATCATCAGATTATATAGAGATATTTCAGGACAGTCAGACAATGAAGTGTAAAGTTCTGACTTCAGCATGCAGATGTTAAGATGACAGGAGTGCAAAGATAAGGAGCACTGTAAAAACTAAATACATATCAAAGGTTATTTGTACTTACAGTGTCGATCAAAAGTGTTTCAAGCTGTCTTTATGATTGAATTTTTCTATTTTGAAATTTTGAGTACATTAGGAGAAGTCTACTTTGTGGTAAACCACATTTATGTCACAAATTCTTGCTGAAGGAAAAGTGAATATTTTAGAGCATGCTGTTCTGTTAAAATCAACTCGTACAACAGTTGTCCTGGTAGCACTAACAATTTGTAATTCATTAGCAAGAGGATTATTTTGGCTACAGTATCTGTTTTTTAAAATTCTAAATACTAAATCAGTGTTGAAATTTCCAAAACTTCAGTGGGTGATAACCTTGAGTACTTATTTTTTGTCATCAAAATGTGCTGATTTCATACTGGAGACAGAGCTCTGAGGAACATAAGTGGGAAAAAGGCTAAAGGACACTTGTGGGAAGAGCACCCTGGCAACAAATTGACGTTTTTAGATTATATTCTGTAACTGTGAGATAGAGGTAAAGGTTCTCTATACACCAACATAAGGTAAATCTAAGATCTCTGTAATGTAACAGAAAATAAAAGTCTGTAGCACTCACCATAAAACTCAGTAGGGAAATCTTCTCTGAAATATGGCCAACACTAACTTTCTGAACACCATTCAAAAATTTGTTTGAAAATCTTTTGTTCAGCATACTTGAAAGAAATACAATATTAATTTCATTTGTAGAGAGGAAACAATTTTAAGAGCTTTCGCTGATAAAATAAATTCTGTGGTCCTATTTTCTAAGAAATATATGCCATTTCTAATAGAGTGGTTATGTATTAATCTGGGTGAGTTTTTAGCACTTCATAACAGTACTACATTCTGATTATAACACCAAAGCACTGAGGTAAAACTTATGTAAGATTAATCATTTAAATGTATGCAACCTAGTTGTATTTAATACATTCACTATTGTGCAACTAATTCTAAGTCATTTTCATCAATTCAAAAGGGAAGCCTAAATCTATTAATTAGTCCTCATTCCCACCTCTGCCATTATAGATATGTCATCTGCCATTTTTGATATATCTGGCTTTCTTCACTTGGTATGTTTTTGGGAATTCATCTGCGTTACAGTATATACCGATACTTTTTTTTTTTTTTACAGGTAACTATTTTCTGTTGCATGGATAATACATCTTGCTTATCTGAACATTTAGATTGTTTCTTTTTGGAATTGTGACTAATCCTATGGATATTTGCTCAACCTTTTGTTTGAATATCATTTTTTGGTAGTACTGGGGAATCAAACCCTGGACTAGTGTATATTAGGCAAATATTCTACCACTGAGCTATACACCCAGCACGGACCATCTGTTTTCAGTTTTTCAGAGTGTATCCTTCAGAGTAAGTTGCTGGGTCATGATTCTCTTTAGCTTTCTACAGCACTGCCATACTTTCCCACCATGGCTATGTCATCTTAACACGCCTTCTCTGTTATATACAGGGCTACTTTTCCATCCATCCTCACCAACTTCTTTCCATTTTTAAAAAACCGTCCTAGTTAATATGAAGTGGTCTCTAATTTACACATTTTAAACTTTAAAGTTGCAGTCACAAATATGCTTGAACAGTTTACCAACCTCTCTCCAAAGTCCACCTCAACAACTGCTGCTTGTTTTTACAGTTTGTGCCAAGTGGAAGAGGTTTACTGCTTCCTTTAAAGGAGACTGAGTATCAGAAGTTCAAAAACATCACAGCCTCAAGGTTGTAAACAAAAAATTATGGTAAAAGCCTAAGAGGTGCACAAGAAAAGGCCAGGTCTTTACACTTCATTAATTACAGAGAACTGCACTTTTAAATGGGTCTACTTTGAGTCCCATTTTAGGTACAGATTAGCAGATGGCAAGAATGTTTAAATACTAATTACTGAGAAAATGAGATGGACGAAATTGAGTATAAAATTATGATGTATAATCATTAAATTTCAGACTATTGTATTTTTTTTAAATCTCTCAATTCAAGGTCACTTTAAACTGTAAGCCAGTAAACGAAGCTGGCTTTTACCCTGTTGAATAAGGGGTGGGGAACTGACCACCTTTAGTAGAGTCATCCACATGCTACAGCTTAACTTCTATAGAAACGAATTTCAAACTTGAAGCTCATCAGTTGAGCTCTCTATAGAGCCATTAATAAATGACATTTAAAGCATAAGCCAGAGCCTGGAGAGACCACTATTTCAAAGGACCTGGGGTTCATTTCCTATCACCCACATGGTGGCTCACCTAAAACTTCAGAGTTGTGTACTTTTTTTTTTTTGTAAGATTTTTTTATTATTTACATAGTATTCTGTCTGCATGCATGCCTGCAAGCCAGAAGAGGGCGCCAGATCTCATAAGATGGCTGGGAAGTGAAGTGGGAGTGAGTGCTCTTAACCTCTGAGCCATCTCTTCCACTGGGAGTTGTGCTCTTCGAAAGAATGGAATTACGTTACCCTTCGTCAGACTACCAAGTCTGACACCTAAAGGAAACCCTGCACTTACGGGTACTCACTCCGTTTGCCCTGGCAGCCCTTTACCTACGTCATAACTGCAAAAACTGTACCGTTTGTGACTTGCTTCTTTCACTTAGGCTGTTGAGGTATTTCCATGTAGCATCAGTACTGGGTCTATGAATTTTCCCTTGTTAGGTTGGTTATACCCTTTATCTACTTGTAAACTGATGGACATTCGTGCTGCTTCCACAAAGAATGTTGCTATAAACATTTGTGTCTAAGTTTTGTGTGGGTGTTTTCATTTCTTTTGGGCATCGCTTTTCCACAGGAGCAGAACTGTTGAGTCATGTGGAAGCAAGACTTACCTTCTGGGAAATTGCTAAAATGTTACTGAAAGCAGGTACACATCCTTACCAACAATACAGGAGGGCTCCAATTTCGGCACATCCTCAACACGAGTTTTCTGATTACAGGTCGTCTAGCATGAAGTGGCACTGGCTTTGCCTTTTAATTTAAGGAACACATGCTCCATAAGACTAATGGATTCCTAAAACAGTATCAGACCCTATATCATTTTTGGGTGTGCACATACTTATGATAAAAGTTTAACTGATATACTAATCTATTAACAATAGATAGAAAATTATAACTTTTTAAAACCTAATTCTTTTAAGTTTTTTTAGAACAAGGTTGAACAGAAGGACTGAAATTGTGGAAAGCAGAAGTGTAGACTGTTGGTGTAATGTTCTTGTGGAATGTATACAATTTACCCTTGTTCATTCACATGATGATTTTCTACCCCACTCTCTGGTTTCAATCTGGACATTGCATTGTGATGCTTATTCTAAGCATCACCTGTCTTAAGTTTGTGTAAACATGCCACCATTTGTTCTCTGTCTTGTCATTAAAACAGCAATGGAGAGGCTAGGGTGGGACATCCTGGTCCAAAGTGGGAGGACGGAGGAGACAGGGGAGGAGAGGAGGAGAATCCTGAGGAGAGGTCTTGGAACCACGTGGAGAGATGGGACTGGACCTAAGATATGACTAAAACCAAGTATAATGGGTGAAATAGGAATGGTAGAAAACTATGTGGGCTTGGAGGTTTAGGATGGAATAACTATATTGTGCTCTAGGTTAAATAAATCAATCCCAGTCTCTGGGTGGTGATTTGGGTACACAGCAGGCTTAGAATTAACTGCTGCTTAACTAAAAGATGTATCTATAGTAAATATATGACAGCAGTGGATAACAACACTGTACATCGCTACTTGAATTGTACTAGCTCTGGACAAAAAGAGCCACTGTATCTACAGCCAGAACAGTTCCTTAGAGCTAGTCCCTAAGTGTCTAATAAAATGCATACCATTCATTGGCAAGAGTAGAAATTATTGACAAGGCGTAAGTAACCTAGTGTTATTTTTTTTTTACCCAAGTCCCAGTATTGATATTCACTGAAGCTAGTTAGCAACTGTTATTTATTAATAATACATTTGCCTAAATGTAACTAAAAACTAATGAACCTTTAAATGGCTTAGTTGAGTTTTTGTTGTTTTGTTTATTCCAGACAGTGTTTCTTCCTGTAGCCCTGGCTATCCTGGAACTCACTCTGTAGACCAGGCTGGCCTCCAACTCTGCCTTATAGTGCTGGGAGTAAAGGCTGCACCACGTTTGCCAGGCAAAATATTTTTAAAATTTGTAAGTTTTTTGTTTTGTCTTCATGTGTCTGTTCACATGTCTAGTGCTCAGAGGCCAGAAGACGGTGCTGGATGCCCTGGAACTTGAGTGTAATTGTGAGCCCCCATCTGGGTGCTGGCAATCTGGAAGAGCAGACAGTGCTCTTTACCAGAGCCAACTCTCTAGCTTGCTTAGTTTTTAAAATTATGATGCTAACTTAGGGATTCCTACCCGACCTTAAGGGAGTTTCATATTTTTTTTTACTTTATACTCCATTAAAAAAGCACACACAGTACCATATTTTCATTTTCTCTAAGAAATAAGACCTCTCTTATTTGGAAAGAAGGGAGAACTCAGCTGATGGGCTGTTTTATCACATCAAATGAAGCAGACTAATCACTTTATCCCAGGAAAACATTTCAGATACTCATAAGCTTAACTTCAGTTTATTCTGCTAAATTCTGTGGTTTTTATTTTATGAAAAATTTAAAATAGACAAGCAAGTAATTGACTTTAAAGCTAAATTTTTGAAAGTGGGTGTAGTGGTGCACACCTTTATCCCAGCACTTGGGAGGCAAGGGCAGGTTGAGATTAGCCTGGTCTACAAATCAAGTTCCAGGACAGAGAAACCCTGTCTCAAGAAAACAAAACGAGTGAACAAAAGAAAGTCATTTTTGATCCCTAACTTACCTAAATCTGTAAGAGCTAATATGAACCATAAAAAAGCAGTTTATAGGGCTGGAGAGATGGCTCAGAAGTTAAGAGCACTGGTTGTTCTTCCAGAGGTCCTGAGTTCAATTCCCAGCAACCACATGGTAGCTCAGAACCATCTAAGGTAAGATCTGTTACCCTCTTCTTGAGTGCAGGTGTATGTGTAGGTAGAACACTATATATATATCTTAAAAAAAAAAAAAAAAAAAAGGCAATTTGTAATACAAGATTAAAATAGACAAAAATCCATTCCAGCTAGTATAGTTATGGCATGTGCTACTGTTCCCGCCCTAACAAATAAATAACACACAGCTAGCTTTGTGTTGACATTTTGAAACACTGAATTATTGTGGACTCTTCTCTAGAGTAGCATCACTTAGCTTTATATTCCACTCATGTTAGATCCCAAATATATGCACAGTCACTTGTTTTACCTTTTTTGTAATGGTCTCAAGCTGGCTTCAAACTCACTAGGAAGTGGACAAGGGCGATTTCTGACAGTCCTTAGCTCTCTGTGGAACATGGCACTGAAGAGCAAACTCAGTATATATAAGGCAAGCACACTAGCAACTGAGCATCACCAGCCCCTTGAACCCTGCTTCTGGAGTTGATGTTATGCAACTTCTTCCTCTTCTTGATCTGACTGTTGAACTTTATAGCTTTAAATGGTATTCTATTAGGAAAAATAAAATTCTTCACAGTGCTTACTTTAATGCACTTAGTCAGCTTACTGCCAACGTAAAGCATTAGTAAACTAGCTGGGATTTGTCTAATTGGCCCTACCATGTAGGAAGAAGACTTAGACGGGGGTTTCACTGGACTATAGCTTCTAGATCCAGCTGGCCATCGTGTTGGAAAATGGGGCTAGATTATGCGTTTGAGGGTGAGGAGGCTTGAACGGGACACCCTGTGAGAGAAGGAGCCACTATGAGGAAGACACACTCGTGCCTAGAATCTGCTATGTAAGGAAATCAGTTTTAAATACTGAAAAGGCTAAAAAGAACACATTGTGTTTTTTTTTTTAATCATTTTATTAGGAATAATTTCAAATGGGTTATAAAGAAAACTTATTCATTGACTTTGATGAGTTTTTAAAAATCCTTAATGAAGATATGTTCATCAATAAACAGTAAAATAGCAGAACTATCATATACTGGGCAAAGAGTCAGGCTGATTCCAAAAGCAACATGCAACATAAAAAAGATAACAATATAAAGGAAGACAATCTGCTGAGTAGTAAAAGTTACAATATGAACTCTTTGCAACCAGCACAGAATTAGCCACCAAACCCAAACCACATGGAGGTGAGTTTGGCTGGTGGGATCCAGGAGTGGATAATGTGAGGGTGGTGGGGTCCTCAGTACAAGAAAACTGGATAGTGTTTTGGAGCGTGTCCCTGGCCGGCACAAGCAGTATTAAAAAATCTTTTCTGGCAAGGGGTAGAAATAAATACAAATGGAATGCTACATTTTTAAATCAGCAGACTGTCCTGGGAATGATAAAGTTATCAGTAAAGTATCAAGGGAGTAACTTTAAAACATTATTGGTGTGGGCTCAAAAAACACTCAAAACAGATTTGTTTAAAGGTGTCACAATATCTATATATCCTGGCATTTAGGTTTAAGGGAAATCTAATAATGGATACTTTTTCCCACCAAGGAGAATTTCTCTTAAACCCAAGCATATTGCTAAGCAGCAACATCGTACTTGGTAAACAATAATTGGCAACAAAACAAGTTTTAAATGCTGTAATTTCTGCCCAAACCTGTCTCAGGTATCCTTTAATAACCAAGATGCAAACTAATTTTGTTGTAACAAGCCTAGACCAATTCTATCAAATGTGTCCTTGGTTGGATCTTCAGTTTCTTTTAACGTTTTGAAAGTTCATTTGACAGCCAATCGAGTCCCTCATACAGACCAGTTCCTTGTGTAGCACAAGTGGCTTGGACATACCACTGTGAAAAAAGGACAAGAAAATACAAGATTAACAATATAGAATGACTTTTTAAAACAGAAAGTACTAAGTCCCTTCCCATAAATGCCCAAGGGCCCTACTGACTAAGTAATTGAAAGTATGCAAAATAGAAACTATAAACTCACAGTAATAAACATAAGGAAATAAGTGATCATGAACTGAATGCTCTCAGTAACTACAAAGGTTACTCAAAACTATACTTCAGAAATTTTCTCACACCTCGTTTCTCACTGTACCCATTTAAAACCACATCTATCATTCCATAGATTTATTGGTTTATAAAGTGTTCTCCCACATAATAAGGAGTAATGGGAAAATCTCTAACTACTCATCTGGTCCATAGATCCTCTCTTTTCCCATAAACTACGTAGGACACATGTGCAAATGTTTTTACCTTTGTTTTTGTAGCGCTAGATCATACCCGGGGCCTCCTATGTGCTAGGCAAGTCCTCTGCCATTTAAGCCACATTCCCAGTCTCAAAGGGGTAAATTTCTAAAAGATGTTTGTTGATACTTTTCACATAGTCTTACTTTTTAAAAAAGATTTAATCAATTAATTTACTACATGTACAGTGTTTTACCAGCATACTACCAGAAGGCGCCAGATCTCATCATAGATGATTATGAGCCACCATGTGGTTGCGGGGAATTGAACTCAGGACCTCTGGAAGAGCAGCCAGTGCTCTTAACCTCTGAGCCATCTCTCCAGCCCCCATAATTTTACTTTAATTTTAGCATATAATATGTGAGACTAAAGATTATTTGGTCTCAGATATTCCAAAATTTTTCACTTTTTACACAGTAAAGATTAATTGCTTGTATGAAACAATAAAAATCTAAATATTTTTTAAAAAGAGACCTTATCTCAAAAACTTCAAACATCTAGAAAACAATTCACATTTAATGGATAATTTATTAATT